TTTAAAAAAGGTGAATAGACCTTGCATCATCCATAACAGTTTCATAGATCTTAGTGGGAGTTTTATATTCTTTCCCAATTTTTCATGTTGCTGTACAAGCTAATGCTTTTTTTTTTTCTAATGGCCAGATTCATTAGTGCCTCATATCTATACATTGTGGTAGAAATTATTGCCAGAAATTCTTTGACAGCTGGTTCGTTTTCACTTTGTTTTGTTTATATATTTTATAGAATTTGCCTGGTTGTATGTCTGACCTCCACGAAATATGATAGGCTTTTCTCTTTTTCTGTAATGGAAAACTTTGTTTAAGCTTTTATAGTCTCTTTCGCCCAGCTTCAGGTTTCTGAGGTTCTGCCTGTAGTCACGAGTACAGCTAGTGGTTATATCACTCAACATTTTTAGATGGACTTTGTGTGATTTGATTAATAGTGAATGAACAGTAAGATGTAACTTAAGCCTAACTTAAGTTACATACTTACTAGCCCGATGTTGGCATTTAATTGCCCTGCATTGTGCTTATGCAGAACTCCCTCCTCTGGTAGAGCTGCAGTGGTACTGCCTCCAGATTCGTTCTGCATTGCTGGAGGTTTCTGTAGGCTCAATGGAGACCAAGGCATATACTTGCAGGGGATGATACAGGTGGATTTAGGCTTTAGGTAGCTTTCTCTGCTTCCTCAGAGTGCCTGTCATCTGTCTTCCCTGGCAGTTTAGAGAGTGGCTTGTTAATTGAGATGCCTGTCTGGGACAGGATTAATTAAGCCCCTCTGTACCCCTTGTATCAGTTTTTTCTATCCTTGTCGAGAATGTTGTCCTACGAGAATAGTGTGCTGTACTAGCACATCTGTTAGTAAGCTGACCTGTACTGTTACCTGCAGTTTACAGCTGCAAGACAGTTGGTAGAGTATAATATTCAGTCAGAAAGGTCTTACCTCTCTCACTTGTTGTTCTTGTAGGTGAACAAGTTTTTCAGGTCTGAGCTATGGAAACTGTTGTAGTAAGCATAGTGGCAATCTTTTGATGTTTTCCTGTAGGATTTACTGAAAGAGTTTCTTCCTGCAAGTCCCTTTTGTCTGCTTTTTTTTTTTTTCTGTAAGATTAGTTCTTATCTGGATCTGAGTCTTAAAAAAAAAGTTTAGCTCTTAGTTTTGCTAGAAAATTGCTGTAGTACTGCTTTTTAAGAAGTCTCTATTTATTTAGCTATAAGAGATCCCTGCCCAAATACAAGGACTGATAAATGTAATGACATTAAAGAAATCCAGTTACCTTTCCTGGCTAATGGCCAGAACACACAGAAGTTGGGTTTGGACACCTAACTTCAGAAATACCTTGCTCAGCATTTTCCTAGGCCAGAAGTTTTTACATTCAGCTAAATCGGACCTTCTTCACCCTTAGTGTTAATATTGCACCCAGTTTTGCAAGCAGGCATTCATCAAGTTGCTTCTTTTCATTTGCCAACTTGACATCTAGTAGAGCTCATCTGTAACAAAAATGTACAGAACCCCTGGAAATGGAGTGGGATATTGTCTACATTTTGAGGAAACTGGAGGCAAAAGAAACTCAGATAAACCACTTGCGCCTTTTCCCACTCCTTCCCTTCTTGTGTGTGTGCGCATGGTCGTGTCCCTTCTGTGGCAGCTGTGTGGGAAATATGGCATGTGCTCTGATCCCATCAGCACTGTATGCTGGCACTGGAGGCTGCAACTCTGTTCATTAGGCTATGATCACTGCTGCCCTCTGTGCAATGACAAACCCCACGGAGCTTGGGGAGGACCAAAGAGCTAAACGGGCAGCTTCTCATCACATGGGGGAAAAGCTACTGGCTGAGCCAAGGCAGCTGCAGAGCCAGGCTGCTGCGTGTACAGAGGGGCAGAGCAGAGGGTGTTGAACCTGGTTTAGCATGAGGCAGGCCTTAGTGATGTAGGGTAGTTACCTGGGTTGGGAAGGCAGAGGATCGATGAGGAAGAGATGGGACACTATATCCCTTCGGTTTTGGAGTGCTCCCTTCATGCAGGTGTCGCCCAGGCTTAGCGGGGATGGATAAATTTGGTGTGTTACTAGGAGGTTAGGAAGAGAATATTTCCACTAAATAAAGATGGGAACTTCATTAAAAACACCTACATTAGGAAGGATTGGCTACTTAATTGTTCACGTTATACAAGATGCAACTTAGGGTTCAGCTGGACTCATTCCCAGTGTTCATGAATCTATGCATGAAGAAAGCAGAGCAAGTGAGCGCTAGAAGTTCCTTTGGGGTTTTTTTTGTTTTGCTTTTTGTTTTAAATTTTGAAACTCACATTTAGTGTGTATATTTTAACATGTTCATGTGAAACACATCAAAGTAAACACATGCAGTGTGTTTCTTTCACTGTCATTAATCACTGTAGTGTTTTAAAAAGTAACAAAAAATACACTAATGTTAAACTGTGGTCAAGAATTGAAATATACACAGCTCTAGATATTTGAAGTTTGCCTTTGCCAGGGCAAATGTAGCTTGACAACCGTGTGTGTTTATGTATCAGCATATGAAGCAAGTCTGGTTAGCAAATATGGATTTTTTCCATTAAAACCCCTCAATTTATATTGAAACTTTTTAATACACTTTTTCAAGCCACCTGAAGACGCAAATAAAAATTCAGGAGAAGAAAACGACTGTAAATTCTCTGAACCACTCCAAGAACTGTTATCCTCCAACACTTTAGAATCATTGAATCATAGAATGGTTTGGGTTGGAAGGGACCTTAAAGACCATCTAGTTCCAAGCCCCCTGCCATGGGCAGGGACACCTTCCACTAGACCAGGTTGCTCAAAGCCTCATCCAGCCTGGCCTTGAACACTCCCAGGGATGAGGCATCCACAGCTTCTCTGGGCAACCTGTTCCAGTGCTTCACCACCCTCTCCGTGAAGAATATCTTCCTGATGCCCAATCTAAGTCTACCTGCTTTAAATTTAAAGCCATTGCCCCTTTTCCTGTCACTTGTAAAAAGTACCCCTCCAGTTTTCTTGCAGGCCCCTTCAAGCACTGGATGGCTGCTATAAGGTCTCCCTTGGAGAAGTGCTCCAGCCCTCTGATCATCTTCGTGACCTCCTCTGGACTTGCTCCAACCAGTACGTATCCTTGAGGGCCCTAGAGCTGGACGCAGCACTCCAGGTGGGGTCTCACGAGAGCTGAGCAGAGGGGCAGAATCCCCTCCCTTAACCTGCTGGCCACACTTCTCTGGATACAGCCCAGGATACGGTTGGCTTTCTGGGCTGCCAGCGCACACTGCCGGCTCATGTCCAGCGTTTCATCCACCAGTACCCCCAGGTCCTTCCCCTCAGGGCTGCTCTCAATCCATTCTCCACCTAGCCTGTACTTGTGCTTTATCACAAAATGCACTTACTTTTTAAGCCCTGCTTATGTCTTTGTGCAATTTGTTTGTGATACAAATGAACAACCAAGGTTGGATGTGAAAGATGAGAGTTATTTGGGACTTTTTTTGCCACTGAGGTGCCATTGAACAGTCTATGAGAAGTCCACTTGCCCTTCCTTGGATGTTTGGGATAGGCTTTCAGCCAGAGTGTAGTACAGCTATTTTTGTTTGTACTTGAGTTTCCTACTTGCCTCTTTTTTGTAGAAAAGAACTGTGCTATCTCCCTCTCTGTAAACCTCCTGGATGCTACCGAAAGGGGAAGGATGATGTGGCACGTATGTTCCTTCCAACAGCCTCCCTCATGAACAGCTGTGCAGCCCGCCTCTGCAGCTCCTCTCTGCTTTCCTCGGCAGCACCATAACGCAAACGTCAGCCTGATCCCTGTCAGTCTATTCTCTGGGGTCTGGATGGTGGTTATGTATGTGAAATGCTTTAGTAATCTTCCTTGCTCTGATGAATGCGTATGTGAAAGGAACTGGGACAGAACTGGCAGTGTGCAAGCTAAGAAAAATGATGCTGTCATGTTGCTCTTCACTGTGATGTGGGAAGTTGTTACCATAACGCAAACGTCAGCCTGATCCCTGTCAGTCTATTCTCTGGGGTCTGGATGGTGGTTATGTATGTGAAATGCTTTAGTAATCTTCCTTGCTCTGATGAATGCGTATGTGAAAGGAACTGGGACAGAACTGGCAGTGTGCAAGCTAAGAAAAATGATGCTGTCATGTTGCTCTTCACTGTGATGTGGGAAGTTGTTTTCGTGAAGTTAGACTTTCCCTACAAAGAGAACTTGGATAGAATATAATTAACTGGAGATCCTTACAGATGTTTTTTTCAGTCTTGAATCAGCATCCTTGTGGAGCTGTTTCCTTTCTATTTTATTTTTTTTTTAATTTCACAGAGAAATCATACTTTTGTGGCTCTGCTTTTTGTCTTCTTGTTGCTTAAAGACACAGAAAAGAGAACAACTGTTGGAGACTTAAGCCAGAGGTGCTGTATTCTCTCAGCTTCTTTTTCCTGTGGGGAGAATTAAATGCACTCTTTATTTTTCAAGATTATACATAACAGATAAACAAGTGTGCATATTTTTAACAGAAGTAACAACCGCTTGGACAATTCCTGCCCTGTATTCCTGCATATCTGACTTCCTGAAAGCTTTTGAGGCCCCTGTTTCTCCCACAAATATTTTACCTTTTGCACCTTCAACTTTTTAATGTCTACACTGTGCTTGCCCTAACTTACCAAAGCATTCTCACTGTTTTTGTGACTAATCAGGGCAACACATCAGTTCATTGCACTTAACTGAAATGTCAACTCTTTTGCCTGAGGCTCTGTAGGGGTAAGTGGTTTTCAAAATCTAAATCATCCCCAGGTGTATATCTTTCCTGTGGCAGATAGAGTGCCAGGAAGTCTGGAATCATAATGTAGGTGCCTTGATCAGGTAGGATGAATTTGGGCTGTGACATATAACAAAAATACGTGAGTTTTGAAAAACTGTCAATCCCATTAATTCTGAATGTCTTGGAGAAGCATAGCAGAACATGAAATACTTCTTAATTTACAAGTTCATAACTTTTCCCTCTCCCCCTACAGAGGCTGCTACTGACCCCCCTAAGACACCTGACAGCGAACCTTTGTTTACAAAACTGCGCAATCCAAGCACAGGCAAGTTTTGGAATTGAGACATGCATCTGTCGATGTTCTGGTTGATTCCCTCCGCCGGCAGAAGATTCATATTTTGCAAGCTGAAATAATGATGATGGTATAGATCTTATGTGCCAAAGATACTGCTGGTGATGCCAGATAGTTAATGCTGTGCAAACATTTAGGAGTTTTTTTCTAATTTTAATTGGTTGAACTGTTTATTCATCAGGAGTATTGGCAGCACAAAAAAGAAGTGTAATTTAAGTCCTGTTTTTAAGTGGATTAGTTTTGGGGAGCTAACAGTGTTGGGTGTTGAGCCTGGGCTTTTTTTTAATCCAAATTTAGGCTTCATAGCATTCATCTTATGCGATAAAATAAATAATCAGAGTTAGAAGAAGTGATTCAGTTATACTGACCAAGCTTTTTGAGTATTTTCATTTTTAAATCTGGTTTTCTTGTTTCCCTAGTCCAAGTGATGGTGTCTCTTTTCCCAGTAATAGATGATGAGGCATTCTGAATTCAAAACACATTGGAAAGAATAGCAAATGCAGGCAAAATGATGACACCACCATCTCACAGTTACTTTCTTCTAGTCAGATTGTTCTTTTTGTCAAGGATTTGTTATTATTGTATGAGTAATGTAATAACTGCTGTATGAGATACTGCAACGGAAACTTGCAGTAAGCCTTTGTTAGGGTTAACATATTTTGTTTGAAAACCACATTTCATGCTGGTTTTTTTCTTTTCATGAGCTCATTTGTTTTGTATAGATTTAAGTTGTATGTTTTTGTTTTGAAATTCACTGCTCATTTATGTAAGTTTGTAACTAAAGTCTTCAGGTAAATTTTAATGTCACAATATAGTAACTGCTGCTTGTTCTTGAAAGAGTAAAATAATTAAAACCAATAGATACAGAATGTGAAATCATCATGATACATGTTTTTTGATTGCTCATATTTACAGTGGGAATATATAACCAAGGATATTTTCCACCTGCTGTATTATATTGCCTTTATAATTTGGTATGTTTTTAAAAGCATAGATATTAATATGTTTTTCACTGTGGAAGAAGAGATCTGTTTACCTTGTAGAATCAGAGATCTTGGAAAAGGTTTCGGGGGAAAATCTAAAGTACCATGATTGCCTGGGTGTGTTCCTTTAGAATTTATGGGAGCTTATTTATAGACCTGTGTAAACTTTCAGTTATGTAGCCTTTTATAAGTATAATAAGGTCTGAAAATGGAATAACACCATATTGACTGAGAACACCCTATTAATGTATTTTCCTTACCTTTGGGTCTGACAGATGAATTGTTGAAGCCAGATATTGTATAAATATGCACTGAAGGACTCGGCACACTATAGAATTCGGGCTAACCACTTTATTAAATAGAAGTAAGCATGGTCCTTTTTAAAGACAGGTAGAAAGGACAAAAATTTATCCCTTACAAAGACTATAAACTAGGGTTCAGCCTGCAATTCAGAAGTACCACCGGAAGCATTTTTCAAAGAGCTGAACTAAAAGCAGGGAAATAACTGTACCACAAGACCTAAGCAAGTAATTGAAGTGATAAAGTTGTGAGCAAAGCTGCATAGGTTCTCACTTCATCTTCTAGAGTTTCTCTCTAATGACACTGCTGGGAACCTGTGGTGACTGTCCTTTTAACATAAGCAAATAAATTAAGGAGCTGGAGTTAGGCAGTAGGAATGATCCCTTTCCCAAGATTTCCTAGCTCACCACTGCGTTTGGCTAATGCGCTCACTAGTAGGAATCGTAATTTGTTCAGTGAGCACTCTGTGAGTAGTTTGACGTCTGGTGCTGATCAAACTATGGTGTAGAGCCTTGTTGAGAAGCACATGGTAATGACTGAAACCTCTGCTCCCCCTTATATCTACTCCACTCCTTTCCCCTCCCCAGAAGAAAAATTACCAGGGAATTGAAACGGTATCCTTAGGTGAGGTTAAACATCTGGTTAGCCTTTTGGATAAAGGGGGAAAAATTCATTATCAGTCATTTTTGGGAAAAGATGTGTCTGCCCATTTTCGCTGACCTCCTTCCGCACCCAGGGCTCTCTGCCGACTGAGAACAGCAGTGCTGACATCAGCTTGCAGGGGCTTACATCGAGACTTTCTTGAGCCAGCCCACGATCTGCAAGTCAGTGCAGCTTTGCAATTTATGTCTTTTGAGCAGGACTGCTATGTTGCAGTTGCTCTTGTCTCTCAAAGATGGATTGATAACCAAGGCAGGACCGGTCCAGCCAACAGACCAAATTTCAGTGGCCCCTTCTGTAGTCCTGGCAGCTTCCTACTTTAGATACAGAAAATGCCAGTCCTGTTTGCAACATATTTGTCACCCTTGAAACAGCAGAGGTGTGCTATGGGATTGCCTAAAATGAAGCTTTCCGTTTCCTTTCCAAACTGTCAAGATTCTGATGAGCACTTCAACTTCTTCTAGCTTCCTTGTTCACCTTATTTGTCTCCAAATGCTGAGTCATCAGCAGTCTGCTTTGATGCACAAAAGAAAGTTATTTACAAATTGTCACTTGAAGGTTTGAGACTTTTGTTCCCCTAACCCAGAGTGATATCTTGGAAACAAACATGACGGCAGGAGAGGGGATTTTCTTGTTTTCCACCTTGCTCGTTCAGTACAGACAAAAGCTGATCTGAGTGATTTTGATTTGGGTTTGGATCAAAGGCTTTGTGTTGTAAGATGAACTATTCACACATCTTATTTATTGATTCAAATTCAGTTTGGTTTATAGAGCTGGTAAATGAACATCTGTATATAATAGTTTTCTTTGTCTGAGCTTGCTTTGTAGTGAGTTTATGTAGAATGTGTGTATGTTTGTGTGTCTGTATGTATATAAGGCACATTCTTCAGACGTATTGGGTATTCTTTTGATTCTTGTGAAAGCTTACAAACACAAACCAGATTTCTTTTCAACAGGGGAAGCAACTCTCTACTTATTCAATAGTGGTGCACAGCAGCTGTTTGAAGTAAAAGCTTTTCATGAGGAATATCGTTCCTGGTTTATAGGTCAGACTGTTCAACAAGGTGAGTAGTATAACGTATCTTTCCCCCAACTGTAACTAATGTTCATAAACGACCTTTCCTTTCTCTTCTAGTAAATTTACAGGTGTTTTTCCTAGTTGTTTGAGGCATGCTGTATCACACCCCCACCTTCTGACACACTCATTTGCCATCTGGATTTAACCAGGGCTGGGGGCTTTGTGGTCTCTCTTTAAAAGGCTGCCTTTGGCAGCCACAATTAGACAGATGTTCATTTGTCTTTGAGGAAGAGGACGGGGGGTTGGGGGGGAAAGTCATCAAATTGTATTTAAACTGCAGTGCCATAAAATACTTAGCTTGCCTTGTCAATCAGACAAGCAAGTCCTCAGTGTAAGTATAATATGTGTTATCTTCTGGGAGGGAAAAAGGGCTGGAAGGCCTTAGCTAGCTAAGCAGAGCAGTGTGTTAGAGCTCCAAGCGTTGGAATGTATGGCCTTGCTTTCTTTTAATTACCTCTGTAGTCCCCTGAGTGAATGCTGGGATCTCAGGGTAGGCCTGCTGTCTGAAAGGGCCATTTCAGTGTTTGTCTGAAGTGAGCTGGTCGATACCATCCGTCATTCTCTGGTCCGAGCTCACCTTTCTGAAAATGAGGAGGAAGCTTAACGTAACTGCTTGTGACAGCTGTAACAGTCCTTTATCAGTAAGGATGTCATTAGAGCAGTGTTTCTCTGCCAGCACGTCCTTAGACCAAGCAATAAGTATTAATTCAGGAGATTAAGGTATAGTTATTTTGTCCTTTTTTTAACTGGAAAGAAAGACCATTTATAGTAATAAATAAAAGCACCCCCACCAGACATAATGCCTTCTTTAACAGTAATATCCCAGAGCGTGTGTTAACTTTTAAACATCCTCAGCAGGTGCATATGGCAATGCAAGATGTATGTCTGTGAGCTGTTCCTTGCTCCATCTGGGGACGAGCCAAAAGACTGGGTCTGCTCCCTGCTCCCAATTATGTCCACGCTGTATTCTCCCCCTCCCTTTCTGACTTCTATTTTGGCCCTTGGGAAATAGTTGCCTTAAGGAATCAGCGCCTCAGTTTTCTGTCAAAGATACAGGGGGAAAAACTGTTCCCGAATGTTAGGGCTTGCTGCATCTCTGAAACGGTCAGGGGAAGAACAGCACAAAAAAGCTGTGTGTTTGCAATGAAAGCAAATTATCCTATATGCAGAGAAGGGCAGAGGTCTTTGTACACCTATAGTGAGCCTAAACTCTTCAGAACAAATAAAAATCCCTCTTCCTCAAGGTACAGAGGAAAGCATTTAAATGGAAGCTTTGAGAAAGTGTTTTCTTCCCTCCAGGTTTATTATCAAAGCTTCCATGTTTGTAAGTAATCCTGACGCTTGCTTGGCCTCATGCAATACATGATGTTAGTAATACAGATGTTAGTCCAAACCACGTTCTTCCCACTCCATCTTCTGTTAGTTCTCTTTCTGTTTCCTTTTCTTTGATTATCTTAATCACGTGATTTAAACAAAAAAAAAATTAATTGCTTTTTGTTAGCTAATTAATGTCAAATTGTCATAAATTATTTGGTCTTATTAGTGAATTTCCTTCATGTTACATTGTTTCTAATTATCTGCAATTCTACAGAAAGCCTGACTAAGCCATTGTCCTGAAATGAGCTCCAGATGGGCAGAGGTGTCTGTTTCAATGGGAGTCCAGGTCCTTCCTTTGTGTGTAACTTTGAATCCAACACACTGAGCCTTATTTTCTGATCTATTTAAGTTTATTTTGTTCCATTAGGAGGCTGCATGCAGATTTTCCACTTACAGAAGAGAGGCAGCTCTAACTTCATTAGCTCTTGAAATTCCTTCTTGCCCTGCCTACCCCTTCTGCCAGTGAAGTGTTGCCTTGCCCAGTGTTTGAGGTGGTGTATACTGGATATATCCAGTATCCCAAAACAAGTTTCCGTTACACCCAAATCTGCCAATAGAGGGCAGCTTCCATTCTGCTGGTTTTAACATAGTCCGGAAAAAGGCAAAACTAGGAGTGCTTGAAGCCAGCAAACCAGCAGTGGAGCTTGTGCTTTGGTTTGTCAGGGTTGAGAATTGAGTTCTCTATGTGCTTTTAATACTTATTGAAAAAAAAAATTCTTCTCTTCTGACCACACTCCTGAAAAACATCCTAAAAAAAAAAAGTCAATATATTTTCCTTCTTGGTTCTAAGCTTAATTTTACATATCTGTCATGTAGATGGGCGCCTGCTGTTTGTTACACCAATGGACCCCTTATTTCTGATACTTTACTACCTCATAAAGGCAGACAAGGAGGTAAGCCTGCTTTGTTTTTTCACTGAAATTTTCAGGAGAAAATGTTATTTCTGACTTCATTTTCCCAAAGAGGGGTTTCCATAATAATTGAAATTTAATTCCATGTAAAGCAGAGATATCCACCCTAGAAGTATTTTTGTTTGCATCAAGTTTTTTGGTCAGTAAAGTATATTCCAGGAGTCAGCTTGCAATCTCAACAAACTGTAATCACCTCCTTTTTTGAGATAAGCAGAGAATCTCTTTTGTCCATTTGCGAGAGCCTGTCCTAGAACTATTGAATTAAAAATTATGAGATGTCATGAGAGTTAAAAAAAAAACTAGTGCCCATTCTGAGGCATGAGTAGATGAGTCATTTTGGGAAAGAAGGGAACAAGAAAGAAGAATTTGGATGCTATGAGGGAGGAAGAAGAAACATTTCTGTGTCAGTTTGAACTTGAAAGGAAACATTCCCTTTTTAGAACCAGTATTTGTAGAGATGCTGTATCGTAGAACAGCAGCAACAGGATGATCAAGTGTCCAAAAGTTGGATAATTAATAAATGGCTTAAATGATTTATCATGGGTGTGGCAAAACCTCACTTAAATTTCTGAAATGTATCAAAAGGCACAAAGTTACTGGTTTATTGTTTATAACCTACCTGTGGAAAAAAACACATAAAATAAAATGTAAATGTTGCTCCTTGTTTTTTGTTTCATGGGGGCAATAATTTCACATTATGCAGCCCAGGAGTTTTAGCTCTAACAGCATTTCCTATAAGATTGCTTGCTATTTTCTGCTTTAGATTGCAAGTGGAGAGTCCAGGAGAACAATTTTTGTATGGTGAAGAAATAAAAGTCCTACTGCACGTTTGTAATAGTAACCTATTGTTCTGTAATTATTTTTAAATTATTTATGGTGCGGGATGTGCAGACATTTCTATATTTCTGTGGTCTGTTCCTGGCACAGGGTGGCCCATCAGAAATAGTTTCACAAGGAATAGTTCAGCTCGTTCTCTACACACTGTGCTCTGTTTGAATTCAGCATCACTTTGAAAGCTTTATACCAAACTTAATTTAGGGAAACAGTGAATCTCCTCTGTCTGTGTGGTGGAGTGTTGAGGTAGCCTGAGTAAAGCACATCTGCTGCTGTTTCTGTGCATGGGAAGAGTCCTGTGCTGCCCTTTACTTTCTCGGTACATTTTTTTCTAGGTTTTCTGCTTTCTAGGCCAGGCATGGAGCCAGATAAATGCATAGAGCTGTTCTGGGTCCTAATCCTGCAGTGCCCTGCCTAAGTTAGCATATTCTTCAGTAAAAGGAAATCTTTAGGATGGTGTTGCAGATACCTCGTGCAGTGCCAGCTTAAATGCAGCACAGTCCCTTCTGGCTTGAACTAATGAGTACCCACTGGGGATCTTAGGATCATCCTTTGCATCCTCCTTTGGTTTAGATAGTGTAATGCAGGGTTGCTTAATGTGACTTCTGAGCAGAGCCATCTCCTATCCAGCAGACTTTCTTGGCTTAGGCTCTGTGTCTCTGCACAATGCAAATGTGCCTGTCTTGCTTTGAGATGCAAGCAGGTTTGTGCAGGTAAGTTTTCTCTAGGAAACATTTTATTGCAGTTTTATTTCTGCTGCAATTTATTTCTCATAACCTTTTTGACATTGTTACTGTGTGTTTTCTTTTTCAGGAGAAAAAAACTTTCTATTTGGGTTGGGTTTTTTTTATTATTGGTGTGGGTTTTTTTTGCTTATTTTTATTGTGATTTAGCAAGGGATGGTTACTTGTATTATGCCTCTGACTGTCTAGAAAGAGGATTAATTAATAATGAAAGCAGAATACCCAAATGGGTTTTTTTCATGCTGACCGGTATAATGACTTCAGCTTTGGCTCCTGAGACTGTGCACTCACTAAGGAAGGAGAGCTCGCTGAGTTTTTGTACTGATGCGCTAAAGGATCTTTCCAAAGGGAAGGCTGCCAGTTGTGCCAGACCATGCTGAATGATTATGCATTGTTTGGCAACAGCAAAATTTGTTTGATGGTTCTGTCATGTGTGGGACTATTTAAGTCGTGCCAAAATCACTTTATATACATACTCTGGCCAAACTGGAATTGACTTTGCAGAGGTGAAAGGTTAATACTGTGTTCCAGAAGCTGCCCTGCTCCTTTGAGATTTATCTTTATGGAAGGAAAAGCAAAATTTGAATGGAAGTTATGACACTGGGTTTAGTCCAGCAGGTTTTGGTCTAAAACACTATTGGCACACACTGACTACTGTGTCTCATGTCATCTTCCAAAAAATCCCACTGTACTTCACATTAGTTTCTCCCCATGTTGTTTTAAATTTGGTTTTTTAAGTGCAGTAATTGAAGAGTTCAGCATTTTGCAGGTATTTACTGGTTTGAAATAAATATTTATGGCTTGCTTTGTAATCAGTTTCTGAGTGTGTCATGTGTTACCGTTCAAAATACGATCTTCTTTAAATCCCATGTTTTAAAGCTATGGCCATTGCATGCCTATATATCTCTATATATGTGTAGTATGTATATGTGTCTTAACATAATAATAATGCTTTTATAATTCCTTTGATGTATTTTCAGCAGCAAGGAAAGTTCCAGCCACTCGATCAAGTTGTGCTAGACTCAGAGTACCCTAACTGCCCATTGCTGCTGAAGTGTGCAGATGTTAAACAGCACATACATCATGTAACAGAAGAAAAAGGTGAAAAAAAGGGGCTGAGGGGGAAAAACAAAAAACCATAACACCTGGATTTCTTAGCGTCACGTCAATACAAGTTTGATTTAAATATTGGTTTTTGCTTTACCAGACACCCAAGGTGCTGGATGAAGCTGTACTTTAAAAAACAGAAGCTTAGGCTTAGAAGTCATCACTGCAGTATTTTGGATAGTAATGTGCAGGTCTCAGGTTAACTGCTGTAACTCTGAAGTACTGTGCAGTCTTGTTGCTAGGTGTTACAGAAATGATAAGCTGATCAGAGCTGACTTCTTGACATTATTGTATGTGTTGTCAACTTTCTTTGCCTTTTGATGGAAGTTTTACATCTCTAAATCTTTATTTAATGTATGATGGTCTGCTGTGGAAGAAGTTAACCATTGTCCATTTGGCTTTTTTTCTCCCTTTGTTGCAAAGCATTAAAACAATAAGTAGGAAAAAGCTGGAGAAGAGAGAATATACTGCTGAGAAAGGAGAGCACAAGTTTTCTAGCTTTGCATAATTTAGTGTTGTGGGGTTTAAGTTCAAAGACTTAATTTTTTTTTAAATAGGAAACTTTATTGGGATGCACAAGTGTATGAGAGAGAAAACTTAAATGGAAAAAAATAGCAAAGTATCAATTCTATACATAGTTTTCTCAACCTCTGACCACAATTCCTTTGGGTATGGGGGCTTTTATTTTATTTGAGGAGAATATATACTGTCTAGGGAATAGGAAGGAGCATTTTGTAATTTTTGCAGCTTGGCAGACCTGCAAAAGATGCAAGACCTCAATTTTTAAGTTCAGTCCTTTAGAGATCATTCTCCTTGTGCTTGATGACTTCCTGATAGTGAATGGAGATATACCTACACGCAGATGGAGATCTGCAGCAGGAGGTACTGGAGCCTGATATCCTACCACCAAGTGCACAACAACTAAGCAGTCTGACCCTCATGCTTGTAGAGCTCCCCTAAGGAGTTAAGGTACAAGGAGTAAAAGCCAGAAATACTAGGAATGACGGTTGGACTTGATCTTAAAGGTCTTTTCCAACCAAAATAATTCTATGAATTTGTTTTCATGAAACACTCTGGCCTTGTTGTTGATACGTATCTATAAGAAGAAATATTTAGGTGATCTACAGATAATTGGGAAGTGACTAAGAAAAGGTGATGGAAGAATGAAAACCCTGCTGAGAAGTCAAATACCAGACTACCTTATTGCTGTATAGATTATCAATGGAGGGGCCTGTGAGATCTTCCTGAAAGCTTTAGGGGCACAAGTGTAAGTCTTTCCTGTTTGATATGGTGCATATGCAGTAATGTAGGGCAGTTGCTTCCCCCAGAACTTCATGGCAGTACATGTTTTCATTGAAACTGTAACAAGAGAACAGGGCAGCAAGATTGTTGTTACATTCTTGCTGGGACTGGGATAGATGGAATTATGCGCTGTTGTGATACTCCTGGATATCTGAAAGAACCTTTGGAAAACATTTAGTTACATCCAGTATCACTGGGAATAGGCATCCTTTTTCTTTGGGTGAGTTGGGACTTTTGAGAAGGCTTCTTTAAGACAGATGCATCTGAACTGCAGAACTGCTTTTGCCTTCCCATGAACTGATAAATACTTACAGTAAAAACTATTACTAAGCTTTTAGGCAATTGCTGTGCCCTACAACTTGTCTAACACAAGTTAGAGCTAAGGGTGAGAGAAGGGGTACTAAACTTGTGTACAGTCAGATCCTCTTGGATGTTATACTAAGAAGTCTGTATAGGAATGTGGGCCAAAGTGTGGATTATTTTTCTAAAGGGGCACTTCCTCCAAACAACCGTGCTGCCTTTGGGCAGTATTTATATTCCCTTCTTAACAACAACGTAAACATTTAAAAAAAGAAGTATTTGCTATCGACCAGGTTTTATATCTTGGTCTAACCTCTGTGCCCATTCTGAAATCGTATTTGCAGTCCTTATCCATCAGTGTCCTCTGATAAACTGTATGCTGTTAGGCAGTAGTGAAGGGGCTTTACTGCTTGGTTTTTTCATTGATGTTTTTAATAATGTATTATATACACCTATAAGTTCGCGTCATGTTGCCAGCAAATTATATTAGCTGTTAAAGAAATTACGTTCACTTCCTGGGTTTTGTTGTGAAATGTAAGGTAAAAATTGCTTTTGTCATGAAAGCTGTACACACATGCACACACCAGCTGTATGTGATGTTCTTGGATGTCCCTAGGCATGTACCTGCTGCTTCTTTCCTTGTTCAGGTTTGGGTTGGGTTGAAAGTGACAGTGGGGCTGTTCTTAGGATTCTTTTTTTAGAACACTAAGCATATTGTTATGCAACAAACACGTTGGTGTTTGCTTGTCTGTCGTGCATGGATCACCTTTCTGTTCAGTCCACTTCTATGTCTTTCATATTCTCATGTCTTACTGCCCATAAAAAATACCAATATCATGACTAAGGTACTCTTTTCTAGCACTCAGACCTGTTGTCCACTTTGGAGCCTTTCTCGTTTAAGGAGTAGGGCTTTAGGGCAAGAAGTATCTGTTATGTTGTCTTCTGCAGCTCTGTTTGGGAGAACCTAACAACACAATTATTTAACTCTTAATCTTGAGGCATTTAACATCTGTCTAACAAATTCTTACCCTAGAGCAGTCACAGTTTACACTTACTGAATTAGCAGAAAGTCCACCTTCCCTGGCCTCAGTGTTGAGGGCACTGAAAATTCATTTTGCTGGATTAAATTCCTAGGTACCTGCCTTAGTAGTTGGGGATAGAGTGTGTTACAGCTCGCTAATCTGGGTGAGGCAGGTTGCTAATAAATTCAAACATCAGATAGGAAGTAGAGAAGGTTTAAGAAAGGGTTATGAAAGCCAGTGCTAGAGTGTTACTCTGTGCTTCATTTTGCAAGGCAAAAACTACACCGTGATCTTGTCTGATGTGATTAACATGAAGAGCCAAGAAAACTTACCTGATTAGAGTAACTAAGTAATGTTGCCAAACTTGTATTCCCAGAAGGTAGGAAAAAAGGGGCCATGTGAGTTTCAGAGTTATGGAAAACACTGAGAAAATGGATGTTAAAATGTGCTTTAGGCAGTTTGCTCAACAATACATCAGGGAAACTTCCAAGTCTACATAGCGATTACCCGATTGCTGAACATATTATTTAATTGTAGAACCACTTATATTCCATCTGTATTTCTCAAACCCAATATTTCCAGATGTCTCAGACCAGTTTTATAGGCACCAGACACATTAGGGAACAAAAGGCTTTCCAATATATACTCATATTATCAAACATAGTCGCTAACTCTCACCAATATCAAATGTGCATCACATGTTAAATCCACGTTCCAATATTGAATCCTTTTGTCAGCAGTTTGTGACTTTCATAACTCACTTTAATTCTTCAGAGGTCTCAGATATTGTCGGTTTCTAGAGTGTAAGAGTCAAAACTGTCAAGCACACAAAATATTTTCAAACAAAGTGATCTCTGAACAGTTCAGTGTAATTATTTTTCACGTTTTAATGAAAATGGCTTCACAGTTCTCTGTTTCGTTTCCCTAACTGACTCACTCTGAATCATGCTGTTGTGGGGGAGTCTGCCTGGGAATCTGGGCTGGAATTACTTTTCAGCATGGGTTGGGGGATGGTGGCCGGAGGATGTCCCTTCCTCGAACTTTCTTAGATAAGAGAGGAATCCACGAATTGTACTCACTGTACTTGGGCCCAAACCATGTTAGCTCTTAGAGAAGCAGGTTCCAGTACCCAGAGCATCTCCCCCATTTTCTGCCGCTTTTCTTTCAGAGTTTCAGTTTAGAAACATCTGAGTTCTAAAGGCTGCAGCCAGCAGTGTCACAGCTGATTGCTTTACCTGCAACTCATCAACATCATGAAGCAGTGTATATTAGTGGTTTTTTTCTTTTTGCTGTGAAGATTTTGTGTGTCTTACTCTTCTATAAGTGTTTAGATAGGTTTAAACTGTATCTTGTAAACAGCTTTCCTTGACCTCTCCATACTCCCTGCCATGCATACACAAAGAGGACATAATAGTTTGCTATTTGTATGCAATTTGAAAGAGCCAAGATAAACCCCAAAGAAGGAAATGCTGAAGGAATCATAAATAATATGTTGTTGTTTGCAAGGGGAGAAGGAAACTCCATGAACTGAGTGTTGGAATATGATACTGGATCAGTAAATGACATGAAACAGATGTAGGTAATTATGGGAATGGTGTATAGGAGATTAAAACTTACTGAAATACCTGTTAAAGACTGAAACACAGTGGGCTCTAAAATCTCCATCTTATTAGGCATTTCACTCCATTTCCAAAATGTAGCTTTCTGTGAATTAATTCTGAATTTTTATACCGAAATTTCCATGAGCCTTTGACATTTTCTCTCTCATTTGCCTCAGCATCGTGAACTCACATGTCTCCAGATAGTTGATCACATGTGAATAGCAAGTGTTCATGATACCCTAGTTATCACAGGGGAAACACTCTCTGAAATCCTTATATCATTCAGTTAATTTATGTTGCTCAATAAATCATAAATGAATCATATACTTCCTCCCACAAGGACTGTGTCTCATTGTTTTGGATTTCTTGTTTTCTTTTGACACTATATTAAACTACGTAAAAGGGGATAGAAGTAAAACTTTTGTTTCAGTCACTCTGTGAAGTGAGAGGGGAGAACTGGGAGAACTGATGGAAAAAGAGTTTATTGAAAAGGTTTGTCTTCACTAACTAACTCTGTCCTGGCCCCTTACTAGATGCTGGAATTCCATAAATAAAGATTTAAGATATTACTTAAAAAAAAAACCCAAACCCAGCAGTCATGGAACCAGCATTCCGTGTTGTGAACTATGTAGTTAAAATGATCAGGCTGGTGACACAGGGCAGTGAAAGTTTGGCAAACTGCAAGAGCTTGAGAAGAGTCTTAGTGAATTCAGGCAGCCCAAGTGTACACATAAATAAATAAAATATGTGCTTTGCTGGGTTGGGGCCTGATTAAAGAATTGTCAAGTTGTTCAGACTTGTGCATATCAGCTCAGTCTGTTTATTTTTCCACATTTCCAATATTTTTGAGACTTATGGCCCTGATATCAAACATGTGCAAGCTGCAAATTAGCTTTCATGCTGTATCTACAACTTAAAAGATATTAAATGTATTGAAAATGTAAACCAAACCAGTCTTGACTTTCTTCCCCTTACTGTTTTTTTTTTTTTCTCAGAGATTGGCAGTCAGAAATTCCACAAATACAGCCAAGAGAAGACACTGAAGTGGTTAAAGAAAAAGGTATTGGGTTTCTCTTTTGCTTTCAAAATCACTTTATGTTTAAAGTGAAAATACTTCTTAGCCTGTCCGTATCTGCAGTTGAGCCATGTGGTGTGCCTCAGTTCAAGGTACGTGTCCTGTCCAAGAAGGACAGACGTCACAGTAAAGTTGCTGCTCTTGAGAATGTGATGAAGTCTTAGAGAAATGACGAGTTTGTTATGTTTCTGATGGGACTGGCATGAAAGGGATTCATGGAGTGTGGTGAGGCAGAGGAATAAGTTGAAATTCAGCTTATCGCTGTGTTCTGTAAGCTTTGCATAAGGTGAGGGGCTTGTCTTTTGCTTTGTCCGCTTCACAGATGGGCTACAGGAGAGCTTTGACTATTGCAGCTTTAAAGCTGGTCAAAAGGCCTCGCTTTTGTGCTACAAATGGGTTTCGTCCTGAAGTTTTGGCAGTCTCGCAGAAAGATCATGGTATGGTTGCTGTTATCCTGATCCAATGACACTGTTCAGGAGGTTTGTACAGTATGCAGATAATAAACCAGTGTTATAGCTCAGCTTGATGTTGTCTATGTTTTGGTATAAAGAGTGTGAATCTCATTTTACACACCCACATGTGCCCCTACTATAATACCACTTTGTAGGAAAAGATTGTACGCATCACGTGACACAAGAAAGCCACGTCATTTAAATTAGTCAATAAAGCAAAAAATCTGGCCTACTTGCTGCGTCGATGAGGCATGAGGGTATCTATTTTGCAATGAATACCTAAATATTTACATTTGAATGGGTTATCTGTGTTGTTGAAAATGTCTTCTGCCAGTTGTCTCTCTGCTAGATCCAGTATAGCAGTGCCCTGTAAAGTCCTTAATCTTTGGTTTCCGTCAGGACTGCTTTTGCAATCCAGCTGAGCTCAGGCATTCTCTGTTCTCCGAGCAGGTGTATTTCTCACCTGTATAATCATGGCTGTTGCATGTTGCTCGGCTCATCTTAGGGTACTGCGGAACTGGAGCTGTGTTGCCAAGGCAACATGTTCAAAGACATGCGTGTTTCTTAGGATTTTTTGAGCTCATATGCTAGTCATTACAAATGTATATTAAATTTCACCACAGTCCATAACTTGAGTGTTTTATATGCTTGAAACAAAATTACAAGAGCTTTGTCACTGCATTAACATGTGCCATAACAACACTGATACAGACATTTCATTCTGTGTTTTCCTATAGGTCAATCAAACAGTGAAAGCACTTAAAAGCAACAATATATATGTAGGTGAAGGGGTATATGCAGCTACGTTTATCAACAGTAAACAGATCACAGATCCTAAAGAAGGTAAGAAAACAAAACGTTGTAATGAACTTCGTTTTTATGAAATGGCATACGTGGAGATAACACGCGTGATTAGAATCTAAAATGTATTGAAATTGGCCTTGGCAGTAAATTTATTCCTAGTTCAGAAAGTCCCATATATGTTGTGACTGTGTGCCTTGACTTTTCTGAGTTTTTTGGTATCTTCATCAGATGACACAACAGTAGGTCTCAGCTGGGGTTCTTGTAGCATCTCCTTAGTTCAAAGGGAAGACGTTTTTCTCTGTGAAATATATGCTGAAGTGCTTTGCTGAACTGAGGCTGTCTCGGACGATAGGACACATGCTTATAACATACATGGTTATCCACCCACTAAGTGCCTCTGTATTAGAACAGACTTCTGTTTTGTGATTATTTTTATTAGCATGCAGATGGTCGTCATAGAATTCTCCAAAAAGGGAAGGGATCTTAAAAAGTCATAGTCACAGACTAAAAACTCCTGGTCCAAACATTACTTTATGTGACAAATGTATAAAATACACAAGTGTGTGCTTATTAAGGACAAAAACTTTAATAATGTGTATTAAATTGCCCTGAATTTGACAGTTCTGGTACCAGAAAGTCTGGAGTGATCCTGTTTGCTTCTAGTCAGCTTTTCCCTGGGGGAGGGGCCAGTGTCCTGAATATTACTGGGATATGAAGTTATTTAGAGAAACCTGAAAATGGACTTTGTATAAATTCTTTCAATGTTAATGAAAATTAAGAAAAGTTTAGAACAAGAGAAACAAAGGCAAATTGTTTCTTATTACAAAGACGTGCACAAGTCTGCGTGCTGTTGAAAAATAAGGAGAAACAAAGCAACTTGCTGACAAAGTGGAAAATGAGTTACCAAGTAATGATATCGAAGGAAACAACATAAATGAGATTTAAGAGGCAACTAGACAGTTTTATAGAACAGAGTTTGTAATATATAGTTTTTAAAAAGAGACAAAGCTGCAAAATTTGTAAGTGACTTTAACTTTACAGTAGCTTTTCATCCTTTTCCCTACCCCCATTTTTTTAAAGAAAGGGAAAATTGTCCAGACAGCCACCATCTTGACTGTGCTTAAATACTTTATCTCTGAAATTTGTAATTAAATAGCTCTTCTGCAGGGTTTTTTCCACTTTCCTCCTTACTTATAGTAGCATGGATATAATAATCTTTTTTAAAGCCTTTTTTAAGATTTAAAAGAGCAGCATTGAAATAGAGAATACTGGGGTTTAAAAGTAGGTAAGTTTTGGAGGCAGTCCCACTGTATGTGGCAAGGTGAATGACAGGAAGTCAAACGGGCCTTACTCAACATTTATTTTTTAAAAAAGACTAATTTTCTTGTCTGATCCTTTCACTGCCATGACAGTGCAATTTATTTCTGTAAAGAATTGCTTTCATAGGGGCATTATGAAATTTCAGTACCTTATAAATAGATGGTTGTATGTAGTTAGCATCTACAGATGTTGGAGGGCTGAAATCTGGGAGGATATAATGCGTGCAAATGGGGAAGGAGCAGAGGTTTATCATGTGAGATCTGAATATTTCATTCAGAAGACAAAGGAGGGAGGTGCACAAGTGTTTCTCATGTTTGACAGGAGGTTAATAACAAAGGAGGGGTAGGGTGAGAACGCAGACTCCCTAGAAGGCAAATAGTGGTATTTTAAAATTGGTAAAGGAAGTCTGTGAAGATTGCTTCAAGGCAGAAATACAAAGAGAATGGATTTTTTATTTAGTACAAAATATAGCAGTTGACTTGAACTCACCATTCAGTGCCATAATGCAAAGAGTGAAATGATGGGAATATTTCTCTTAAGCGATAAATTGGACGTATTAAGTGCTGAGGTGAAATTGCCTGGGCTTGGAATTATTTCTTGTTCTCTCCTGACCCTAACGTGGGCTTAGGGAGTGACAAATGCTTGATGAATCTAGGCAGTGAAGGAAGGAGAAATGCAGATAGGAGATACTAAGGATTTGATGTCAGTATAGTTGGAAATTCATATGCTGGTGTCAGTTTGTTAGTGCTTCCTGCTTCAATGCCAGTTTGCATTGGGCTTTTAAGATTTAAAAAAAGAATGAGGAAACTCTCTCTGGCACAGAAGAAATAGTTCTTTGCCACCCTGGGGCTAGTTTACCACGCTGTAGTGTGTAGGCACATGGACAGATAGAGCTGGCCTGTTGTAGATGAAATTCAGAGGCGAGATTGTAGCTTAATGTCTGTCTGGCAAATACTTCCTGTGCATGGGTGCAGTTACTCCCTAGCAGCCCCAACAACAGCAAGTTTAAAAGATCCAGCCAGTGATCGGTAAGTGCTTGTGCAGAACGTGACCGGAAAAGATCTGGTTTAGGACTTCATGTTACAAAAGGGTCACTTTTTTTTTCCCCCAGTCTCTCAGAAGAAACATTTATAGCAGGAGTGCCCTGTACTGCAAACAGCTTCTAGTAGTTCATATTTCCACAGATAATTATCCCGTCTTGCCAATGATGTTTAGATAGGCCTTGGCATTTTCCGTAAAGTACTGAAATTAACTACAAGACTTTGAAATAGACTCATTGTCTCATCTAATTGTTTTCAGTTGAAGCCAGAAAATGTACTTTAGGACTGAAGCCCTTGCCAAATAATTGTAAGATCCAGATGCTGTAAAATTAATGATTGCGTGTTCTGTTGAGTCAGCTTTTTACTTTTGCAGGTTTTTAAAATTTAATTTCTTCAGAAAAATACATATCTAGTATTCTCAGAAAGTGAACAGCTTTCATACAGCAGATATTAATAACGTGCTGACAAAGTGCGTATAGTAAGTCTTTACTTTTTAAATAAACCTGCAAGTGTCATATAACATAAACTACTCAACACAGAGAACCATCACAGCGTATCCATTAGAAGTCTCTTACTATTAATTCAGCCTTATGATTTATGGTAGTGCATGCAACATGGCTAAGGAAACGTGACTGTATAATGTGGATGTTCTTTTTCTCCTTCCCACTCCCTGCCCTGATCCTGCAGACTATGTGCGCTACGCCCATGGGTTAATATCAGAATATATTCCTGAAGATCTGAGTAAGGTGTTGTTAAAATACTTAGGGTAAGTATTGTTCCAGCTAGCTGCTAGTTTTATATGGCATGCATTAATGTCCTTTTGGTCGTTTCTGTTGAATGCTGGGATTTGTTCATCAAGGTTGCAGTGAATAACACAATGAGACTGTATTTGCCACACTTTTAAGTGTGCTTTTTTCAAATGTAGATGATGCCTTTCTGTTGTTCCTGTCATGCTAAGGACCATGGGCTAGAGGAGAGCTATACAATATATAAATCTGATGTATGTTATCACCATTGCATCATGAAACCCTGAGCAACTTATCCTATTTTAAAGCAAAGCAGGAACAGAAATCCTATGAGTTAAATCTATTTGTCCAGGATTGTCCAGCATGAGCAGCAGAGGCGGGAGCAGAATCCTCATCCTCAGTCCTTTTTCCTTTTCCCTACTCGCTCAGTGCTGCTTGACTTCACATATCTAACCTGCATTGTTTTATGTTTAAATCTGGAAGGTGACCCAGCTTATCCTGGTGTTTCCTGCCAGCAGCAAACTTTGCTTGGAGCATCACTGAGACCCTGCGCCTGCCCCTCAGTTCTGTTCTGGTGGCCTGTGGAAAAATGTGCCATTTGCAGCTTGAAGTCCCATAGCTTAACAGTTTCATTGAAGAGGTGTTATGGACTTTATAATACCATCTTTCTAATAGCCGAAGTTTTCGAAAGTAAGGTGGAGTTGTGTTTTGGTTGCCAGATCTAAGAACTTTTAAAAGAGCCCATGTTTCTGTATGGTGCCTGTCTCTGTTTTAGTTATCTAAGTCAGAAATAGAGAGTCCCTGAGCTGTTTTTTTTGCAAATACATGCCACATGTGAGCAGCTGATAATCAAAGCAGCTTTTTTGGGGAAGGACTTATAAGCTTTAGGTTGTACAATCCAGCTGTCTTTATTTATATCTTAAAATCTTTTGTTGTACAGGCTCCCAGAACTTAAAAGCCCAACACCAGAGCCACCACTGAAGGTAGGAGAACATTAAGATATTGACAGATACATTGTGATGTAAGCTAATTTATCTGAATTATTAAAACTAGACTAGGCCAAACTCTAGGTACAATACCGTAAGTAAATTGGCCTTGTGAAATAACAGTCTGAAATAATGCAAGAAATTTATCAGGTACTTAATTATTTTAATGAGGAATGTTTTGGTGGGTTTTTCTATTTAA